CCGCGCTGCGCGAAAAACGTGGCGCCAAACGGACCCTAAGACAGTTGGGGAATTTAGCTTTAGATCTAGTACCTCTGGGAGAAATATAAGCTTTTGTTACCTGTCTTTCTTAAATGAAAATTTTTTAAAATCAAATTAATTTGTAGGTGGTTGCCCATTGGAATTTCTTCTTGATCCTATTAAATTGCCGTTATCCCTTATCCTTTATCCCGATCCTTCAGAGGTTGACCAATATCATAAAGGTACTATTCTTCCTCTTCATTTAACTTACGGGATTCCCGTATAGAAGAGGATCCATCGTTACTATTTTTTGGGAGTGTTAATAAGTTTTTGATGGAGAGCAACATTTCTATCTTAAGCTCAATATTCACTATTATCAGCTTCATGATTTAGTTAAATGCTTTTTGGATAATCATTTAACCCTTGATCAATTGGGAGAATTGCGTGATGTTTCTTCCCTCCAATTAGGAGGTGCAATTGGTTAAAGAAATAGTTGAGTGGATAGGGCAAAATTCACCTTTCACGTTGATTCTCTAACCCATTGGTGTTATTATTCTCTTTTTCTAAGGGGATGCTGAATTCTTGAAAATTTGCAGTTTGCATTAGTATGTCAAAAAGTTATAAAACGGATGCGTCTAAGCGTTTACATTGTGGTCTAAATCCTCTTTAAGGATGTCAAACAAAGAGGGATCACAATCTTGAAGTTTCCAAATAAAAGAGCAATACAAAGCGAACTAAACACAAAAATGGGCTGCTTTGTTGTGTTCACTCGGCACAAAATAAAAAAGTAGCTATCTAAATTGAGATAAAAACCAAGTCTGGTCCAAATCTGGGTCGTTTTCTCCGATTGTTTTTCTCTATGCTCCGGCCGTAAAAGTTCATCACAATTTCATTATCCCCTTCGATTATCATTTTATCGTAAATATTATCTCAATGCTGATTTCATTTTATCAAAAATATTGTCTCAACTAAAAGATGAGTCACTGTAGGTCTTGATAAATTTAGCTACAGTAGTAAAGGTGTATCATAGGTAGAAGAGGGAGATTATATTGTTCCACGATTCATGAGGTGAACTCTCATATGGGAAAAACGAAATCCATGCGTGAACTGTAACATACTCTTGATTTGCATATAGTAAGCTATACAACAACAACAAAGCCTTAATCGCACTACGTGAGGTCGGCTACATAAATCCTTTCCATTGCGTCCTATTTAGTATCATATTTTCATTTAGTTCTAATAAATTAAAATCATTTTTTATACAATAAGCCCAAGTCTTCCTAGGTCTACCTCTGCCTTTCTTAACATAAGTCGAATCTACAACATCTACTCTCCTAATCGGATCATCAGATGATCGATGTTTAAAGTGACCAAACCATCTAAGGCGACTTTCTCTGATTGGTCCGTCACTGGAGCTACACCAATCCTATCACGGATATAATCATTTGCATATAGTAAGCTATACTAGAAAAAATTAGTCTCCGTCCTGAGACTGCCTGATGAGTATGCGTATATATGCACAGTGAGCCTAAAATTTGAATAGATAATACTTACTGATAACGGCAAATTCAAAAGTGCTTTAATTTCGTCAATAGAGTACATCAAGGATTGTTAGTCACTTCGAAAGCAAAAGGGATTTGAGATTAGAGACACGGGATCGAAGTACTAGCTAATATTACCTTATAAATATTTCCTTATTTTGTAATTTTTATTTGAAATTATATGAAATTTGCATTTCCAAATTTGAAGGTTTTATACATTTCCCCTGGCTATTTTTATAGACTGCACCTGACTGGAGGCAGGCTCTTACTCTGAAGAAGGTAGTGGAAGATCGGATCACCAAAGGTGAGGGATGAGTTGCCCATGTTTTTTTTTTCTTTTTTTGGAAGATTTACATGCATACCACTCAATTATTATGTATTTACATGTCTAACACCTAAACTTCAATTTTTACCTGCGTGCCACCTTACCTATACATGAAAGGTGTATTTCACTTTTAAAAGCTAAAATGGTGGTAATTTATTAATTTGATATGAAAGATTTGGGTGTTATCAATGTAATAGTAAAGTTTTGGTGTTCGATATGCAAATATATAGGAATTGGGTGGTATGTATGTAAACGCCC